CAAAATATCATTGGTGCTCGCTTACCTCACTATTTTCATTTCATTGGAACAATTCATCAAGTTGTTTTCTTTAAAGAAGCACTCAACAGCACATTCATATCACAGCTAATGGATGAGTATGATACACTAGTCAATCCATCAGGTGTATGCTCTAACTATCTTCAAATTGGAGCTACTTGCCCAGCTCCTTCAGTAGCTCCTTCAGTTCTTTGTCAATCATCAATAAACAAGTATGTGTATTTTTATTTATTATTTTATTGTTTTGTTCTTAATAAGGTGTCACCCTAATGCAAGATGTTTGCCTGATGTTGACTATCAATATACTTGTCAGCCACAACCAGTTGGTAGGTTGCATGATTTGGGAGGGAACCAATATCTCATTGTTACTCTTGACTATAATAGTGATTGACATACAAAGTGTATGTATTGATTGGTATTATCATGAAGTTATTTTGCTTGTTTAGCTATTTATTGCGTTTTCTATTCCTTTAGTATGTACATCAGACTCAACATGCCAACCAAACTACTACTGCAGCAGTGGTACTATACCTACTGATAACAGTAACTATTACCAAAACTCTGACAAATCATTACCAGGTCAAAGTGTCTTTTTACAAGAGAATTTGATGCACTTTTCCGGAGAGAGCATTACCAGAACAAATGTCCTACCAGTTCACGAAGTCCCAGGTCTTGTCTCAGACCTCACTATATTTGCTATTGTGAATCAAGAGCCTGGTAATGATGGCTATGTCATTGGAAAAGGTCTCAATGATAAAATGAGAGACTTTGGTCTTTATCTGCGTAGCTCAAAAAGTACAATTTGGCTAGCATATGGATCTGATGATAAAGGTGTTGGATTCCATGGTATTGTATTCTTTTATGATGTTAATGTTGCTGATGGTAATGAGCACTCAGTGACAGCAATCATTGATGGTTCTGCTAACAGTGCATCTCTTTATATTGATGGAGTATTGAGAGGATACCAGTGTCCATTGCCAGTCAAACCAGCCTTCAGACCTGATGTAAGGTTATTTTTAATTTTAATCGTAAAATTATTGCACTGAGCAGAAGTAGTCCTATTATCTTATGCATTATTGCCAACTAGCTTTGTTATCACCATTATTTTGTTAAAATGAGCAATTTTTGAAGAGTAAAATAATAGTTAGTAGTGGCTATAAAATCACCCCAATTTTTACTACATTTTTCAATGCATACTATGTAGAAAATTTGAGCTGATTTTATTTCTAAGTTATGAGCATTTTTTTTAATTTGCCAATTTCTAAAAGTTACTTTGTACTATAGCCATACCTATATGCATATTCTGAAAACGGCTCCAAAATCACCCCTAATTTTTATTACATTTCCTGATACATATTGATGTCCTTATGCTGTGTAAAAAGTTTAAACCGATTCCAACTTAAAACTTTTGAGTTATGGCAAATCAAGAGTATAGTACTTTATATGTCTCTTTTTCTATTCTAGTATAATATTCTTTATGTGGGTGGCAGACCAGGTACTAAAAGGTTTCAATTCAAAGGTTCCATCAGAAACCTCTTCATTGGATCTAGTGCATTTCAGTATGACAATGTCAAGCAGCTACATGATGATGCATTTGATGGTGACAGATCTCTTTGTCTTGACACAACAGACACTCGATATTGTTTACAATACATTGGTAGTAATGAGAGGTGTATTGTTGGAGATAAAGATTTTAGGTCAATTTAATTACTTATGTTTGGCTAATGTACATATTAATTCATAGCTATTAATTACAGATGTCATCCTACCCAAGTTTGTGTACCTGATTTTGCTGCTAGTGTAGCTAAACAGTTACCAATTCAAGGAACTAGTTTTCATCTTTATGGTTTGTGTCGTACTCCTTGTGATTGTGATAATACTGTCAGTTATGAGTGTGGGATTGATGGTAATACTTATCTTAATTCCTGCATGAGGGTCTGTGCTAATGTACTGGTGAGTGTATTGTGTTATATCAATTATAATGAGTGATGACTGCTTCTTTCTTTTGTACAGAAACTTCATGATGGTCAGTGTTTCAATTATGCACTAGCTTATGCAGCTTGTAATGGAACCTTCTCTAGTCAATAAAACTTATCAATTATTGTTTAACTATCTCGCTGCAATTCTGATTATTATTTAACGATCATCATAAAAATATTAAAAACAACAGAGTGGCCATTTTTTTGCAGGTAAATGTTCATAAATATTCCTTAAAACTCTATCATGAAAAAACTGAAAAAAAAAACTACTAAAACTACACAAGTTAGTTTGAATAAAGCCTACTACTTTAAGAATGATCTAAATAGTTTGATGGATCGGCTCAATTGAACTTTGTGGCACGATCATGAGGTGTGGTGTAGTCAATGTCAGGTCCAATGGCCACTATAGCATGAGGATTAATCTGGAGGTGACTCTCCTGGAAAATAACAAATGAAAAGAATTAGAAATATAAAGACAGAGAAAAAAATTTAAAAGCAATAGCTACACGTAAGTGAATTTAAAATAAACAAGTGCATATACAAAATTATTATTGAGGGCTTTTGAGGATCTAATTTTCATGAATGAACACATTGTATTGTCTGCCATCTTTTACTCTATTAAAAATAATTGATCTTTTTAAAATGGAAATAAACCAAAAAGTTTCAGTCAGAATTGGCTCAAACTTTCTCACAGCATAAGGACGTCAATAAGTGTCAGAAAATTTAATAAAAATTGGAGACAATTTTGGGGCCATTTTTTAGAAAAAACCATCAGCTATAGCCTTAGGTATTTTTCAGAACTTTGACGTTTTCTTAAAATGGCCGTAACTCAAAAAATTTCAGTCGAAATCAGCGTAAATTTTCTACACAGCATAAGGACATCAATATGTATCAGAAAATACATGTATAATAAAAATTGGGGACAATTTCAGGGCTATTTTTGGGAAAAAACCATGGGCTAGAGCCTTAGGTATTTTTCAGAATTTTGGCATTTTCTTAAAATGGCCATAACTTTAAAAATTGAAGTCGGAATCAGCTTAAACTTTCTACACAGCATAAGGACGTCAATATGTATCAGAAAATGTAATAAAAATTGGGGACAATTTCGGGGCCATTTTTTGGAAAAAAACCATGGGCTATAGCCTTGGGTATTTTTCATATTTTGGCTCATTTTTTAAAATGGTG